TATACAGGGTGTTCCTTAATAAGTTCCCCCACGTCAAATTTAGGGAAACTGGCGCCCGAGATTAAAACCGACTATATAAGTTATTCACTAACATTACCGTTTAGAGTCCAGTCCGAGGAATAGAAGACCTTTCCGAAAAATTAAATTACAGGGGGTGTACACACCATAATTAAAAGTAATAAAATTTACACCGAACCCTATTTTGAAATATTTTGCCTCAATTATATTCTAGCGATAAATCAACTTTGCCACAGCGTTGACTCACCCTGTACAAAACCCAGTGTCATCTTAAAAAATGTCTAATTGATAGCTATAACATTCGTATTTAAAATTATCTTGAACTTGAACTTGAAAAATTGGAGATTGGGCGTTGATAGACCTACATTTACATAAACCTTTTTATTGTTTTTATTCAGAGAATCACCTATACAATATATCGTAAAATATTACATCGCCCTGTGCAGAAACAAATACAGGTTAAAACTGTCTTACTTACCAATGACTTTTGTTCCCATAAAATTCTATGGCGCATTTTTGGCATGCCAATCTCCGGCAATCCAGGCACAAGACCTTCTGCGCCCCCAACATTCCAAACGCGTCTCCGCACAATAAACACTGCGAAGGATTCCTGCCGAGAGCGCAGCGGCGCATATTTTCTAACCTTTCCACTAATTTGCCTATCTAAAAGATAATTTGTTAGGTATATGTTAGGACAGGCTGAAGGTATCATTACTCTTTCCTGTTCTGAAACGTCGATTTTTTCGGCTCTCTGTATAACTTGTACGATGGCCTCCTGTTCTTCAGCGGCTAGCGGTTGGGACTTCGACGAACTTGAACTGCAACCTAAAGCGGACGTTTTTACGCTCCATCCTGTATTTAACCTAAAAAAAAGTACCTGAGCATAGTGAAGATTCCAAGAACCATTGTGAGAAACAATATTATAAAACAGAAATAGTGTAGATAACTACGCACCCTAATTCAAGTCAATCACTCTTTCAAAGTCATGACTTAAATATTTAAAATCAAAGACAGTCGTTGTGGACGTGATTTATTATTTGTTAAACGCGCCAAAAAGAGATACAATGATGGTATAATTATCTTCATAGTGTCAATATATCACAGACAATTGTTCCAATATTTTATGTGTATTAGAGTGAAAGAAAATGGTGGACGTTTGTTGGGTATTAGTTTTAGACTGTAGTTTGACTAATAAAACTAAACAGAGCTGACACTCAGATTAAAAATTTGACAGTTGTTTTGATCGCGTCTCCGCGATTTTGAGGTTATATGTTGATTTCACTATGAACTGCAAATAGTTTATTATATTTGTAATAAATAATTTCTTAGTAGATTTTTAATGAATCAATTNACGGGCCGAAAACCCCCTTCACCAACCTAAATGGGACGCATATGATTTGCATGTCGAAAAACGGAGTAGTCCATGTTATTTAACGTAAAAAGTTATGTAAGACCCATAATTTTTTTTCTATTAATTTGCGACGTTTTGTCAATAACAGAAAAAAAAACAGTTTTGTTTGAGCCCTTTTAAGGGCATTTAACTTCCTAAGGGTGCGTTTTAGGGCACATATTAATAGAAACTTTTTGGCTCATTTTAATGAGTTAGAAACGCAGCAGATATTTGGAACCCTATTTTAGAAATACCCTGTATATTGTTGGGTCCATCCGGTCCTGCACAGTGCTCATATCTTGTAAATATAAACGAGCACTTTTCGCATAGAAGAAGTGTCCAGACGAGTGAAGGAATGGGAGCATTTGGCTGATAATTTGAAGGTGAAGGTTCCAATCTCCCATCCTTTCGGCTTGAATGACTTGCTTCATGAGTAAGGTCATTCGATAGTAGAGTACCCAAAGTTTAGCTGTCGGGCCTTCTTCTTCAAGTTTTTCAAGGCCACTTTTGAATTTGGCAATTACACTTTGTACATATTCATTGTCTTCTGCAAACAGTATGAGTGACCTTTCAGTGTCAAGCGAGAGCCTCTCTGTCTCAGCCTTTTCGTCGTCAGTGCTGTCTATCTCGATGAAAATCAGATGAGCCAGTGCACGGTTTTTGAGGGTATGGGCTCTCACTGCACGAGAATATGCATACCCATTCATCACTTTTTCGACACTGTTTTGAGAATATATCGTGGCAAGGAGCTGTTTGACGAATTTGACTATGTGTCTAATTTGATTGACTGATTGATTGATTAAGTTATTGTACGTTTGATTACTTATGTTTATATTAAATTACATTTCACCGGTTTTTTAATGACTTCATGCCTTCTTTTTCATTACCAAACCAAAAAATAAAAGATATGAAAGGTTATGGAACATTTCTGGAAAAATATGATTTTACCTTATATGTTTTTTTTTGCGATTTTGAGAGAACTACGAGGCCTACAAACCCCTGCACTTAATTTAAAGGTAATGAAATTGCCTACAAATTATATTTTACAAGTTCTACTCGTAGTGTCAATGGTTTCGACGCAATTTCGATTCAAAGAAGGTCTAAAACTAAAATTTTGAATTTTTGGAAAAAATGGCCTATTTTCAAAGTGCCGTAATTCGGTAACCAATCGAGACCAACAGAGCTCCGGTTGGGCTTAGTTTGTCACAAATTTGATGCTCTTAAAAAACGTATAGAATAGCTTTCGACGAAAAATTCATGGATTAGGAGATATATAGCAGAATCTGAAACAAGTCCAAAAATTTCGCGGTTTTTGGTGTGTACAAATTTTTCCACAACTTTCTGAGAGTTGCAAACTTGGGTATACATAGTCCTAATGGGTCCAAACAACATATTAAAAAATCAGATACATCATGTTTCGCGAATTTAGCGATTTTTTGTGTCGATTTTGACCGGCCTAGGCGGTATCTGTTTTGGTTTGGGTGAATCGTATATCCACGGAGATTTTTGGCTTTTTGGCTTTGAAATATCACTAGAAATGATAATGTTTCTATGCGCATAAAAAATATGACATTTTTCGAATTTTTTTAACATACTGTGCCGCCAAAAGTTAAGCCCACGTTTTTTTATGCGCATAGAAAAATTTTGATTTCTAGTGATATTTGAAAGCCAAAAAGCCAAAAATCTTCGTGGATATACGATTCACCCAAATATGGCTTTTTGAAACAGATATAATCTGGACAATAACTATAACATTTGTATTTAAAATCATCTTGAACTTGAACTTGAAAAATTGGAGATTGGGCGTTGATAGACCTACATTTACATAAACCTTTTTGTTGTTTTTATTCAGAGAGTCACCTATACAATATGTCGTAAAATATTACATCGCCCTGTACAGAAACAAATACAGGTTAAAACTGTCTTACTTACCAATGACTTTTGTTCCCATAAAATTCTATGGCGCATTTTTGGCATGCCAATCTCCGGCAATCCAGGCACAAGACCTTCTGCGCCCCCAACATTCCAAACGCGTCTCCGCACAATAAACACTGCGAAGGATTCCTGCCGAGAGCGCAGCGGCGCATATTTTCTAACCTTTCCACTAATTTGCCTATCTAAAAGATAATTTGTTAGGTATATGTTAGGACAGGCTGAAGGTATCATTACTCTTTCCTGTTCTGAAACGTCGATTTTTTCGGCTCTCTGTATAACTTGGACGATGGCCTCCTGTTCTTCAGCGGCTAGCGGTTGGGACTTCGACGAACTTGAACTGCAACCTAAAGCGGACGTTTTTACGCTCCATCCTGTATTTAACCTAAAAAAAGTACCTGAGCATAGTGAAGATTCCAAGAACCATTGTGAGAAACAATATTATAAAACAGAAATAGTGTAGATAACTACGCACCTTAATTCAAGTCAATCACTCTTTCAACGTCATGACTTAAATATTTAAAATCAAAGACAGTCGTTGTGGACGTGATTTATTATTTGTTAAACGCGCCAAAAAAGAGATACAATGATGGTATAAATATTGTTGTTCCAATATTTTATGTGTATTAGAGTGAAAGAAAATGGCGGACGTTTGTTGGGTATTAGTTTTAGACTGTAGTTTGACTAATAAAACTAAACAGAGCTGACACTCAGATTAAAAATTTGACAGTTGTTTTGATCGCGTCTCCGCGATTTCGAGGTTATATGTTGATTTCACTATGAACTGCAAATAGTTTATTATATTTGTAATAAATAATTTCTTAGTAGATTTTTAATGAATCAATTCATTTTTTATTAAAAATTTGTAATGAACCTGTTTTATTTTTGATTTTATTATGTCTGGATTTAAAAATATTTCTTTTTATTTCGGATTATTTTACCCCGACGGTGAGAATTATTGATTTTTCTACATATATATCAAATATCCACTCGCGGGTCCGACCGGCCGATACCCCACTCTGACAAGCCGTTGGTCACGTGGAGGTCCCACCACGACTGGTGTCAATCCGGTGGGGATTTGGGCAACAAAAGTCCTCGACATTCCCCGAAACCGACAGTTCGTATCCAGAACTCAACACCGAACAGACGTCCACCGCCAGCAAGAACTCTCCACCGAAGCCAGCCCAGAATAACCAGTGAACCTAGTAAGAATTATTTTCCTTATTATTATCCGTTCCAACCGGGTACAAGTCCGAAAAGATTTGTACACTTTAAGTGTGGAATTACTGTGGGCCCGAGAAGAATATTCTTGGTAACCCACACACAAATTCCACCGTCCGTCTCAACCCGCACGACAGTGCAATCGTTGGATTCGGCGTGTTAAACCCAATCCTGACGAAGCCGTCGTGTTTACTACAGCGTTGCTTGGTGTCCCGCACCTTGATGTACGCTGGGTAATAGGGGATATGTGAACCAAGACCTAGAGGTTCGGCGTGCCCACCCAATCTCCGGGTCGTTCCATATAGTATCCGTACGCTTCTCCCTGGTCGGCGTGTATACCCATCAGACCGAGAAGCGTTGTATACAGAGAGTCCGACACCATCGGCCACCAGGACGTATAAAGCTTAAAGGCTAGTACGAATTGTAAGGCGAGATACTTCGGATCCCGTTTCACCATCCTATCTTTCCGCCTTGCACCGCTTGGGCTTTCTTCGCTGGTTATTGCTATCGCTTACCGCTTACCGCATTCCGCTTACTAATTTTGCATTGCTTGCTAGGCCATTATACCGATATTTGACCGCCCGCCTGTTTAAAATAAGTCCGAAATAATTCCGAATAAATTTTGGTTTATTTTCAGAATCAGCGGGGACCAGTAAAAAACGTCTATAAATATTTTAATCAGACCGTCTAAAATCACCTTTTCCTTTGTACATAAAAACCGTCTACGATTGTAGAGTAATAAATATTTTATTTCGATCCCGTTTACAAATATTTATTTCTTTTCTAAGGTGATAAGTAAAATGGTAAAAAACCCAGAGTCATAACTTTTTAATTTTGTCTCTTTCACACTGAATTTGTATATAATTATTGTTAAGAAACTTGTAAATAATTTCAGTCGTTTAGTAGTGGGTAGGAATAAAAATTGACACTATATGTATTTGTAATAAGTATTAATATTTTCCCTGTGTGAATAAATCTAGTAAAACTTAATAGGTTTATTTCTTTCACCGTCGAGGTAAAACGATAACATTCCGAACCAGCAAAAACGCTGATATCGTTTTGTAGAGCTCCCGTTAAATTTCATATTTAAAATAAAACTACACTGAGAAAACTACTCTCTGCCGAACTCTCTGCCGTTTTCTCCTAAAAGAAATTCATTGACCCCTGGAATTTATTTTCTTCACTGTAGCTACCTGTGCACTTTACTCTAAACCGAGGATAAGGGATACGTGGAGTTTCCCCCACGTCAAATTTAGGGAAACTGGCGCCCGGGATTAAAACCGACTATATAAGTTATTCACTAACATTACCGTTTAGAGTCCAGTCCGAGGAATAGAAGACCTTTACGAAAAATTAAATTACAGGGGGTGTACACACCATAATTAAAAGTAATAAAATTTACACCGAACGATCCATAGAGAGAGGACCGAGGAAAAGTGCGTCACAAATTTACGAGAAATCCTCAGTACAATTTTCGTTTATTTACTTCGAATAGGTACATAAGTGTAACGATAGAGATAACCAGCAACACTAGTATTAAAATTTGGGAGATATCCAGATTTTGGAATTGTCAAGATGACACAATTATATGAAAACAGTAACTAATTTGACTAGAATTTTTCGTCGTAGTTCATACGAATATTGCTTGTCAAGCAATGGAAAAGATACAGTGGTTTTAGTGTAGCATCTAGACCGACAAAATTTTGAACTACATAGATATAGGTTTATTCTTGTCTAACGGTTTTTTTCATACACTAAATTCGATTCCAACCTCAGAATTGCTGCATCACGTAAAATTTTTGAAATATCCGTACCTAACCTAAAAATTGCGATCCAAAGTAAACTAGACTTTTTAAAAATAAGAACAAAAAGTTTTTTGGCAAAACCGATTTATTTTTTTCAAAATAGTCCCATTTCGACTGAATATAGCAACACAATAAAAAATAATACCATTGGTATTACTGTATTGACACGGAATCACAATGATGTGGAACCTGTGGACATTTCTTGTTTGTTTCTGCATTTTTTGACATTTACGCGAAATCTTGACATCAAACGTGAAATTGAGAGTTTTCTTACAAAATATACTTTTCTGTTCCAAAGAATACATAATTAGGTGTCCTTGTTAAGGAAATTTTATTACAGTTTGTATATATCACCAGTTACAATAATATTAAACTATAAGTACTCTAACAATATTCAGGGTTGTCCACTATAAAAACAAACCATATACAAATTGTTGTTGAATCAAAGATTTTATATAAAAGAACCTGCCTGTATAGTCAAATTTTAAATATATGACAAATTAGTGGTAGAAATCATTTATGAATTTTTGCGTTACTTAAAAACTAGTCTGACGTCATAAGGGGCAATTGAACAAGAACCTACTAGCGATCCTATTGCATAATTTTGAAGAAGAAAATATGTTAAAATTGTCTATCAAACCCTGCTGCCCTGTCTCCTGTTTTTTAAAACAAAAGTGACACTAGTGACAGCAGTCTATCAACAGGGATGTTGATAGACTAGGAGTTTTCCGGGTTTTCTTCGTTTCTAATTTTCCGATCGGATCGATCGACATCTCATTTTATTTGTATTTCGGTTCTCTACAAATACTTATAGCATTCAAACTGCTTCGTTAGTTTAGGTTTATAAGAAAAAAATTTAAAAATGGGTTTTTTGTATAAAAATGCTTATAAAAAATTAATTAATGGTAAATTGGAGTAGGAAACATATAAGCATATATCTACAGACTGTCTTTTACATGATGGCACAGTCCGTTTGCTACTAGTATTCTTGTCACAAAATCACTGATTTAATGCTCTACTGATTGGTCTATTTGGAACGAACCTTACCTTGCTAATCCCAAGGTCATTTTCTCCATAAAACTTTTTATAGCATCTTATATCTTCAAAATCCACTTTGAATCGTTCCAATATCTTCTGTCCTCGAGAAATCGTTTGTTGAAATTGATTAGCATAATTGTAAAATTCAAAATGAAGCATCCAATAAGGCGAACGGTATAAAAAAATAGAATTTAGAAATAAAAAAAATGTTATGGAATTAGTATCATTTAGTGCAATGTTTTTGACAAAAGAATAAACAATTCTGAGCTTATTGAATCCAATGTAGAGAAATTCAAGATGGCGGCCAATATGGGAGTGATGTGATCCTATAACACCATAAGGATCGAATTTCCACGCGAAACAAATTCGATTATCGTATAATCTGCAACCCCATAGTCCTGGAGATCAAAGAGTGAATCCGAAAATCGCCCATTTTGGCAAACTCGTAATTCGTTAAAAATTTTATGCTAAGTTATTGTACATCATTAGAACGTGTTACTGAGAAAGTTCCAAGATGAGTTCAGCTTTAGTTCTGGAGATACGAGTCACAATTCTCGCGATCTTATGTACTTTAAATCTATAAGATTCACTGTTTTTTAGATCATCAAGGTCCAGGTGGTTACTTAGGTTATCGGGGTCGTTGATTACGAATCTATAGTCTGTTTAGAAATGAAAGAGAGTAATAAAAGCTTATTATGTATGCAAATCGTAAATAAATGTAGTACTGGTGCTTATATTCAATATTTTTATATTATGTATTTTCCGTATAGATGAGGTGTACTTTTAAAAAAACTTTGTGCGATCGGACTGTACTAAATTGTAGCAGGTAGCTAAAATTTAATCCCCGACAATCCGTCTTTGTCTATGCCGCTTCAATTTCTCGGTCCATTTCTCTTATAAGTAAACAATATAAAAACAGCATTTCAAAACATGAGGCTACTTTAAGCATCATAACCGGGTTAAGAGGGTTTTTAGTAATTCAAATAAAATTATTCAATATTATTATCAAAATATTTATTTAAATTTAATGAATAGACTTTTATTCCACACAAAAATATATGTATTTTGAAAATTCAAATTATGGTGAGTAAATGTAGTGTTGTATAAATGTACAATAAAGAAAATAAAAAAGTAGGTATATTAAAATTCATCCTCTGAATATTCTGATGAATTATCTTCGTCTCCTAGATTGATAACGATAGGTTCCACAGTAACGTCAATTAAATTATCGAGTTCCCACATTTTCTCCTCTTCTTTTTGTACATGATGTATACATCTTTGCCAGTTATCTGCAGTTACTCGTTCCAAGGAATTTTTTAACAAAATTTTCACGTCACTTAATTTAAACGTCGTATTATTTCGCGCTACATCTCCTTTTACCTGCGCCCAGACTAATTCGATTGGGTTAAGTTCACAGTGATAAGGTGGTAACCGTAGTACCGTTATTTGGCGATTTGTTGCCATTTCATCGATAACATATTTTTTCTGATCTTTATTAAGATTGACAAGTGTCAAAAGTTCCTTTTTCACCATATTTGTTTCAAAAGAAATGTTTTTTCCGGATAACCATTGAATTATATCGGCTTTCCTCCAAGCAGTCGTAGGCGTCCGCTCGGTCTGCCGTGAATGGTAACTGGCATTATCCATGACAATTACAGACCCCGGAGGAATAAGATCCAACATCTGTGTAAAATACTCTTCGAAAACATCTGCGTTCATGTCTTCGTGATAGTCACCTGTATTTTTAGATTCAAATAAAAGTAAACCGCCATCTACAAAACCACTGGCACTACCTATATGTGTCACTATTAATCTTCGCCCTTTACCTGAAGGTGCCTTGAACCCTGTTGAAAGTCCATCCAAAAATGCTTGTCGAAAACTTTTTACATTTTTATCTTGCCATACTTTTGTTACAGTATATCCCTCGTTGACCCAAGTTTCGTCTAGATAATAAATATTCCTCCCTTCGTCACGGAATTTTCTAATTGATCTTAAGTAGGATCTTCGCCAACAAATAATTTCATCTTTATCGATAAGAACTGACTTCCTGTTCTGCTTTTCCCAGCAAAAATTCAACTCTCGTAAGACGGCCCATAATTTGCTTCTACTGATTTTTGGCAAATCGTTGTCCTCTGAAAGTTCACTTAAAATTTTGTTTAGCGTTGGTATTTCTTTTTTAAAATAAAATGAGTGTACTTTTCTGCGAATGACATTTTTGAAGAAATCATCTATAACGACTTTTGACCTCCCTGTAGATGATTTTGGGGGATTTACAGTATCTTGTTCATTTTTTGTTTCCTTTAAAAGTCTGTAGATAGTCGATTTTCCAATCCCAGTCATTTTTGTTAGCATTAGTGTTACCCGATCATTACCTGAAACGAAATATTACCACGCCCATGGCCGGTTCTTATCTCGGGGTTTTATTACTCTCTTTCATTTCCAAACAGAATATAACAATCTAGTTCCGCGGGAGGATGATAGGTGGCGCATTTGCCTGCAAGAGAGTTGTACTTGAAAAAATATAAAGGTTTGCGCAATTGGCCGCCCGAGCACTTTTCACTTGGAGTTCCAGCGGGCACCTCTGAAGTACCCTGATTACTCTTTCTCCTCCAATAGTATAATTAGATTTAGGTATTTTTGCCTACAGGCTTTGATTTAATTAAACTCTTTTTTCTTTTATTCACCCTATTTGATCAATCTTTTTAGATTATTTACACTAATTATTTCAGAAAAATGCCTTCTTTTATAACTTGTCTGGGTTGTAAAATTCAAGAGATAAAAAAATTAAAAGTTTTTTAGTGCCAACATTCTGACTTTATCGACTATTAATAATTTACGAACGAGGTATAACCCAAAAATACGAAGACTGGATAGCATTGCATTCATTTTTTACATTTTAGCCGTTAGCTTGGATCCATCATTTTGAATTTTGCAAATCTGCTCTCGGATTCGTAATCAGCGACCCCGAAAATTCCTGTATACCCAATTTGGTCGAATTTGGTTCAATTGCAAAAATTTTGTCAGCCATCTTGGATCCGACATTTAGAATTTTGAAATTCTGACTTCAGATTCAGAATCAGCAACTGCTAAAACCTAAGTAACCACCTTGATCTTGATGATAGGCCATCTAAAGAACAGTAAATCTTAAAAGTTTAAAGCGATATGCTCGATACATAAGATCGCGAGTATTATGACATGTATCATTCATATCTCCAAAACCAAAGCTGAACTCATCTTGGAACTTTCTCAGTAACACGTTCTAATGATATACAATAACTCTGCTCAAAATTTTTAACGAATTACGAGTTTGCCAAAATGGACGTTTTTGGAGTCACTCTTTCCAAGCACAAAAAGCTCAGCAGATTCTTGAATACCACAGCTTTGTATAGTGAAATTTCCGAATATCGAGGAATACGCCATCTATCTCAATTTCAATAAACGATTTCTGGGATAGGAAAAGAGATACTCGAACGATACAAAATTTTGAAGAGTAGTATTTCCAGTTGCGTAACGAATTTTGTGAAGAAAAATTACCTCAAATATAGCGAACAACCATGTTTTGTGCATAAATAAATACATATCTCTAAAACATGATTTGACAGAATAATTCTAAGATGGGATTTGAATTCAGCGCGTCTAAAATATTCGCGAAAGTATAGTCTATTTTCTAATTTAGAAGATTATTCACATTTTCTCGGCCTGTGTAATTGATGAAATAATATACTGCATGACTGATTTTTTTAAAGGTAGGTCTTGTAAGTGCCTCTTCAACTGACACAGTACGTATTTGCTCCACATAATCAAGATCTGAGTATCTAGATCAATTCAGTCTAATTTAGAGTCGCACCTTTGACACCTTGACTACCGACGCTCCTATTACTGCGTTACCACATTTTGGAATATCAATTTAATTACCATAATGGTCTTAACAATTGAGTCATGTTGACTTAAACGTAAATTAATATAGATTATACGCTGACTTAGAACTGATTATTATTGTACTACGTAAAAGTTTTTTCCAGTAGGTATATGCTTTATATAAAATTGAAATAACTAAACTTAAACTATTGCTATATCCAGAATGATAAACTAACCACCTGTTTCTTATCTAACGTTGAGTGTCAAAATTGTACGGATAATATAACTTTTGCGATTACTTCAAATAATACAGAATAAGTAGGTACCTATTAACTTCTGTCAGCCTGGTCCAGATTTTCAAATAAACATCCAGTATACTATAACTGATTGTGAGCTTTATTTAAATAAAATTCGATTAAAGCAAAATTTATTATTTATTTGAATGGCCATTTAAACTAATGCAGGAGTCAGCTACTAAACTGATTTGTTATTCTTAACCAGTACGTAGGATATATAATTTTATGTTAAATTTTCAAACGCGTGTTGGTTTACGATTTAATATTTAGAAAGCACTTATTTCGTTTAATACTAACACGAAATGTTGAACTATACATAATTAATAAAAAGGCAAACAGATGTTTCACCGAACCTAGTTTTTACTCTCTTACATTAATATTCATTTTGTACTAGGTTTACCGCTGTTATTTTGTATATCATGTCTCTGATATCACACATTTTATCTGAAAAATCGATATTGTTTGAACACAGTATCATTAAAGCTAAATGGCGAATGTGAACATACTGATTATCAGAAATATATGTGTTATCTTGTAAAGATAATAAATGCAGAGTCATTTCATTTCAAAGTAAGTAATATAATACTTCACCTCATTTATTCTTTTGTTTTAATGGTAATGACCAAAGTTTTAGTAAATTTTCTAGGAATTTCAAAATGGTATTTATGCCGTAACTGTAACGCTTAAACAAATATTTTGGTGCCTAATAATACCTAAGTAATATTACTGTATTTTTTACATATTACACTTAAAAGGTGTTAGCGACCTCTATGTTTTGTAATGTGTAAAAGAAATTTATGAAGGTCCGTAACTTTTCAAGAAAGTATTTTGGTACTAAAATATATTCGGTAATTGCTGTTTTAATCTAAGGAAGCTTTGGTTAAATTTTCCACACCTAATTTTACACAAATTACATCCATGGTTCACCCTGTATATGTAAGAAATAAATTAAAATATATGTACGGGGCGTTTCAGGATTAAGTCGACAAACTTTAAGGATATATTCCTCATAAAAAAATAAGAAAAAAGTCGAGTATAATTTAATTTTCGAAATATAAGGCGTTAAAGATTTTTTTAAAATTCGAATTTTTTAAATAACTTCTAAATGAAGAAGGCTATTTAAGCCAAATTTGGCATGACACATCTTCTTATAAGATACCATTTTTCCATAGAAGTAGAAGTCCCGCAAGCAACCAGTGGCGGAGTTATAGGGACTCAGACTCATTAAATTATAAAAAAAAATTAATACGGCCCTACTGAAAATAAAAAATGATGCTGTTTTTAGATAGAACAGTGTGTTATTGACAAAAAGTATACATTTACTTTTTTTCCTAACTCTTATAGTTTCATGGCAAAATTGATTTTTCGGAAGGGTGCTTCTGGATTCTGTCGATAAACTATAGGAAGACGTTCCTCATAAAACCTAAAAAAATATAGTACCTATTAAAATTATGGTCTTAGTCCCGAGCATGTGTGAATCAAATAAGCCTTTTTGTCTCCCCTTCCCTTGGGTTTAACCAATAGTATTAAAATTATTTAGGAGATGCTTCGTTTTTGAGATATAGGGTGTTTTTTTTAGAAAAAAAAAATGATGAAAACAATAGAAATATTTAAGTAGGGTAGGGCGGGGCTAGTTGAGCAATTTTTCACTTGAGCGGATATAGCTCCTCAATGATAAGTCTCAATGAGTTGTTATGCGACCTGATGGATTAGTAATTTATCCCTTAGCAAAAGTGTCCATAGTAATTTATTGTTAATAAGTCAGATTTAAGAGCTACAGCTGTTTATGTCCAGAAGGTCAAATATGCTCAACGTACCCCATAGGTGAGGTAAGTTGAGCAGGGGTATGAGGCAAGTTGAGCACTAAGAATGTCTAGCCATACCAAGGGTTCAATGCTAACTAGAGATGAAATAAAATATCTGTTTGACAATCAGCTCTTTATTTAGTCTTTTAGTGACAGAATAACAAAACTTAAAGTAATTTTCTTTAAATAAATAACAAATAAATATAACTGAAAATAGAATAAACAAAACATCAACGTATCTTAAGACTAACTTCAGGTTAGATTCAGTCTTTCTGTTTAAAATCAGACTTAAATATCTTAGAAGAAAATATTAATAAGATCTTAGCAACTTAATCGTCGTTGTCACTGTTGCAATTGACACAAACGAAAGTAACACCAGCACCTGGAACACATTTTGTATGTGCCCATTCCCTGCAAGCTTGACACTGGATCCAACTTTCTCCTGGTAAGCTTTCAGAATAGCCTTCGCAACAAATCAGACAGGAATAATCATCATCACCACTTTCATCACTTGACTGGAGTATTTTTTTACAGACACTCTTCTTTCTTTTCTTATCCATGTTCTTCTTTGGCTTCTTAACTTTTTTTGTGGTTTTATTTTGCTGCTCTTCTAAAGCGTTCTTTTCGGGAGTGTCTGTTAGTATTGCAGTTTTCCTCTTTCTTCTGTTAGTTTTAGCTGCTTTTCTAGGGCTAGCCTTTGGGTATGTTCGCACAATTTCCGGGGAAAATACTTGTGTTAGATCGATCGTCTCGTTTTCTTTGTTGCTTGGACCAGGCTCGGGTTCAGCTTGGCTGGTGGAGGCAGAAGGAGTGGGATTAAGTTCAGTGCTGGACATCACAGCTTGCTCTGGATGATCTTTTTCCGGCTCGATAGTTTCTTGTTCAGAACGATCAGTTACAAATGATGGTGAAAACTCATCCTCACCAAAAATGTTTGCATTATATGGGAAGATGCCTGTCTTTCGGAAACCGTTGACAATATTTATACTTGTCTGAGCAAACGGCAACAAATCAACGACAATTTTTGGTATAGTAAGGGTTTTTCCCGGGTTGTTTCGTAGCCATGCATCTTGAGCAGCAGCGCAATACTTTTTGAACGGACCAAAGACTGACACATCCAACGGTTGTAATTTATGGCTACAATGCGGTGGAAAGGACAACATTACAACTCGTTCTCTTTGGCCAAATTTAGTGTCTCCACGTTCAAGTGAGAGGAGTGATTATCCAACACTAACAAAACAGGGCACTCCATGGACGGTTTCACATGTTTTATAAAATGTTGCATAAACTGATAGAATTCTTTGTCTGTAACCCATCCACTGGCATTGCCTGCTCCTATACAATTAGGGGGACCACCATTGAGAAAGTGTGTCTTAAACTGTTTTCTCGGAAATACAAACATAGGAGGTACAGCATTTCCAAGAGCAGACACAGCAGTTACTACTGTAATGTTAGTCCCTCGTTCTCCAGAAGTCATGGCACCGACGTTGCGCTTACCTTTGGCAGCTACAATTTTATTTGGCTTCAGCACAGTGGATACTCCCGTCTCATCTACATTCCAAATGTCTGCCGCAGTAAATCCATATCTATCCATTACTTCCGCTAATTTTTCAAAAAAAACTTTAACATTCTGCGCATTAAATGATGTTGCCCTACCAAGGCTGGTGGGTTCTGGTTTTCGTATGGATAGCTCCGGATTTCGTTTTAAAAACATCGTAAGCCATTCTTTTCCGGCCATCTTATTTGCAGTCCAGCTGGGTGGAATTTCAATGCTAAATTTAGCAGAACACTCGTAGGCAAGGCGACGGACGTCTTTTGGAGAATATCCATAGAAGATTGATGCCATTTGTAGCAAGTAATTTTTCAAAGACTTCTCCTGTGTGGGAGAAAATACTCGCTTCGGTGTTGCATAGCCCATGGATGAATCACCACATTCATTTAATTTTTTCAAAAATCTTGTCAGTCATCCGTTTGATACCGAATTCTTTGGCGGCGGCATTCACACTTTTTCCCTCATCGTTGACAGCCTTTGCGGCATTACTTAAGTCTTCAGTAGTGTAAGAACATCTTGTAGTCTTCCTCTTGTAAGTCCGCATCCTAAAAAAAATAAAACATTCATTACTTTAGTTGTTTGAGTCGTGGGGTAAGTTGAGCAACTATAGCTCAACTAACCCCAACCCGAAATTTTAAAACAAAAGTGAGGTTATAAGAAAACCGTAAGAATTATACCCAGAACCTCTCTACATATCAAAAGTACAATAATTTTATGGAAGATTAACACTTACCTGATTGAAAACAGATAACATTCAACTAATACAGACGAAAACTTGCGATAAACGATTTTTTAACTGTTTGGTCACAAAATAAACAAAACGCACGGGCGCTTCAGTCGCTCGTCGAGCCTCCACTAGCGATCACGCGGTGAATAGTTTGCGAGATATTTCGATTGCCCAACTTGCCCCTATGCTCACTAGCCCCGCCCTATCCTACCTAACATCTAATGTGACTATGTCGTAATGCGACAACGTAACGACCCTTGCAATAATCTTAAAATTTTTCAAGCGGTTTGTAGTCACTTCATTTACTTGTGTTGTGTACTTTTAAATAAAATAACACATGGAAATTTATTTGTAAATTGAAACAACCAAAAAATTACCAATTAATATTATACCTAGACAAAGCGAAAAATGAATCAAAAATGAAATGATTTAAAAAATATTTTGTTCAAAATGGGCGCCTCCGGACTGTAGACAAGTACATCTTCTAATTATGAAGGTAGTTGCCGATCGACACTGAATTGGAGTTAATTCTCGACACGCTTGGACTATTTGGTAGACCTTTTGTTTAACAGCACCCCAAACGAAATAATCTATCGGTGTAAAGGCCGGTGAACGTGCGGGCCATGCTGCAAGTCCTTCACGACCAATCTATCTCCTGGGATAATTATTGTTTAACCTCTCCCTAGGACCTCTACCAAAATGGGCAGGACAACCATCTAGTTGAAATCAACTGTTCATTCGCGTATTAAGCGGAATATCTTCTAACAGATCTTGAAAACCATTTTCAAGGAACTCGGTAAACATGTCAGCATTTAACCGATGCGGAAGGAAGTAGGGACCAACTATTGTGTTGTCCAACACACCCAATCATACGTTACATTGGAATTCATGCCGCAAACTATGTTCACTTACCGCCCGTGGATTCTCGTAGGACCAAATATAGTTGTTCCTTTGGTTTAAAATTCCCGTTCGAGTAAATGTTGACTCATCTGTCCACATTACTTTTTGCGTAAACTGGTCATCATTTTCTGCTTGGTTTAACATCCAGTCACAAAACACGCGCCTGCATCGTATATCTTGAAGCAATAAATGTTGCACACGCTGGATATGATACGCATGGCGTCCATAAGCCCGAAGAGTCCTCCAAATGGAACTTGACGAAATACCTAGCTCATAGCTAGATCTTTTGACACACGTGGATGGATTTTCATCGAAATAGTTTAAAATAGTATTCGATCTTACTTCGTCCTGAAGTGGGGCAAAATGTCCATCAGCATAAGTTGGAATACCGAAAGACCCAGTTTGTCTGAGACGACTGAATGTCATTGAAAATGTTTCCTTTGCTGGGAGTCTGCGATGAGGAAATCTTACTGCATATTCACGGCGAGTTGCCGTGGCATTTCCATCACAAAAACCATATACAAAGACCATATCAACATAATTATTCATTGTTCGAAAATATGGACGGCATTATTAAACTTATCTTTATTATTAGTTTAAACGCTTTATCTAATAGCTGTTTTACATTGACAATTTATTGATGAATAAATTGACGAAGTTCTTCATGAATTAATTCACGAATTTATTAGTAAACAGTGTGGTTTTACATTGCTACAGACTTTATCAAGTTTTTTGACGCATGAATCAGTTCTACCAACGAATCAAAGAAGCAAATAAATTTCAAAAATGTCACCTTTCCACTCATAATTGTAGTGATACAACAGCGGTACCGTTTTGACACATATTATATAAATATCAGTGTTTGTAAGTAACAAATCAGTAAAAACAATGCAAAACTAGTACGACGCCACACAATTATTTACATATTCCAATA